TGCCTCGACAACTGCCCGACTGACAAAAGGCTGGCGTGGGCAAGGCTTGTCTTCATTGCTTCCCTTCGCCTTGCTCCAGATCCCCTTTCTTGCTTCCTTGCTTCCGAAATCTCCAGATCTGCTCCACTCCTTCCATTTCAGCAAGCAATGGCGCCCCACAAGGTCAAGGTCGACGCGATGCCGGCTTGGTATTCGCCGGCCCTGGATGCCCCCAATATGTCAGAGAAGAATCTCACCGCCACTGCTTGAAGATGCGTTGAGAGGCTGGGGCTTGAGCTCCGCCCAAGATGCAAGTGATAGTGCGTGGCTCCTGGAAGCCCCCAGCCCCCTCGTCCTGGTGGTGGTCATCTTTCCTTCTTGGCGGTGGGGGCAGAGGAGGAAGGCCTGCGTTGCCCTGCGGGCGGTCCTCACGAGGCTGATCCCTCCAGGCCGCCTCGCGAGGCTGGTCCTGCCAACGATCCTCGCGAGGTCGGTCACGCCACTCCTAGCGAGGGCCATGATCGTCCCATCGTCCTCCGCCGCGTCCTCCTCCCCGGTCGTAGCCCCGGTCGTTGCGCTCGGGCATCGGCCGAAGCGTCCTTCTTGAACGGCCCTGAGCTCTTGGCATTCATTGGTGTTGTGGGTGTGGCGGTTGTGGTAGGCGCAGAACGGTCGGTTGCCCTTGGACGACTCCGGTTGATCCCTGCCGCGCTTCGTGTCTGGTTCTGCTGGGAGCACGGCTGCTCCTTTGCGCTTCAGGTCCTTGGCCTTGGCCTTCTTCTCTTCTGGGTCAGCGGCTGGAAGCTCGAGGAGGAAGAGGCGTCCCTCCTCAGCCATTCCGCACTTGGTCGCCAGGTTGAACAGCTCCAGGGATGTGCACAACTCCTCATGGATGGCGAGCTCAACCTTCATCTTGACATCGCGGACGCCATCAGAGAACACTGAGATGATGGCCTCGTCCATCACCTTGGGGATCTTGAGGCGGGCGCTGTTGAAGCGTTGGATGTATTTCTACAGGGTCTCCCCGGGCTGTTGCTTGATGTGGCGCAGGTCACCCGTGGCCGGGAGGGCGGTCGTGAGTGCCCTGGAAGTTAACGATGAAACGGCTGCGCATCTCGCCCCAGGAGGAGATCGAGACGGGAGGCAGGTTTAGGAGCCAGGTGTGGGCATCGTCCTTGAGCGCCATGGGAAATCAGTTCGCCATGACCTTCTCATCTCCGTTGGCCGCCTCGATGCCCAGCTCGTAGAGCTGCAAGAACTCTGCAGGGTCGGCTGTACCGTCGTAGCAAGGAGGCAGGTCTGGCTTGAACTTGCTCGGCCAAGCGACGCTACGCAGCTCGGTGGCGCGGCAACCTGCTGTGGCCACCGGAGCCCTTTGCTGACGCGGGGCTTGCTCCTGATGGTACCCGCGCACTGCCGCCAGGGGCAGCACGGGATTTTAATGCGTCGGTGCCGGGACGCGGTCTTGTCGTGCTGGTGCAGGAAGCAAGGGAGCACCTTCTTGAGGTCGAGGGATTTCTTGACAGCTTCTTTCTTGTCACGCGGGCGCTGGACGCGGTGGGTCACGTCCAGGGGTCGCGCGCCTTGGAGCCAGGGCGCCGTCTTGGGGCGGAGGTGGCGGAGGCGCTCCTTGAGCCGCATCGCCCATGCCTGATGGAGGGCGAGACAGCGAGAGGGACGAAGCGGGAGAGCCCCCTGCGACGCTGATGAGCTCGGTGATGCGAGCGAGCCATTCTTCGTATAGGTCGTCGACGGGGCAGTAGTGCAGGAGCTCACGTGCCAGAAGCAACGCGGCCTGCGCGTACGTGGGGGCGCGACGAGTGTGAGACGACGAACCAGCTGGGGTCAGCGATGGAGTGGCGGTGCGGCCTTCCCGCTGCACCGAGAGATGCAGCGAAGATGCTTGCTGCTCGTTCCCCGTCGGGCTGGTGGCGGCGTTGGTGGCAGGCGACGGAGAATGACGAGGAGGCCCGCCGACGGGAGCCGTTTGGGCGACGCGGGCGGCGAGAGCAGCCCGGCCCTCGGTGCGAGCTCGTCGAGCGTCTGCCATGGATGCGACGAAGCGGTGGGACGCAGATCAGCGGAAGGAAGATTTTGGCGCACCCCTACCTGGCGCGCCAAATGTCGGATATCGGGTTCCGACAAAACCCTTAAGGTTCGAACACTGGGGTGCGCACGAAGATCTCCTCCTACCGAATCTCACTCTCAGCCTCGCCGCAATCCCTAAGGTAGATCCATGAACAACACAAGAGACACGAGATTTATACTGGTTCGGGCCACCATTGTGGTGTAATACCCTAATCCAGTGTGTGGTGTGGTGGATTGTCTCTTGGGCTGATGATGAATAGTACAGAGGAAGAACAACCTCGCGAGGAGAGGTGTTCTTGTGGTGGTGTGGTGTGCGGATGAACTTAACTTGTTCCTCTACTGTGGTGGCTATCTCTATATATATAGGCCCTGGTCCTGTTTCCAAATATTGAGCGGGAAGGGATCCAACAACGGCCATTTCGAAAGGGGACATCTAGTACAAGCTATCCTGACTAAAGGTGGTCTTTGACTACCAAAGATGCTGGTGATGACGCCGTCTTGGGCTCCACTGTGACCTCCGTCATGCCGCTCTGCTAGTCTTGGTCTCGTTGCACCGATATGGAAACCTTTGCCTGATGCCTCGGTACTCCGTGCCTGCGCTTGCCCCCTTTGCACCAAAGAGAAAATAAGGACACTGCGCGGGCTGACGCCCGGCTGGTCTTGATCGTCATGGCTTGCGTCATGAGCACCTCGCGAGGTACCCCTCGCCTTGATCTCTCCGCCTCCTCACGAGCCTACCTGACGAGGCCACTCCTGAGGAGGTCTTGTGTCGTCCGTCCCGCGAGGCTTGGCCTCTCGCGAGGGTCTTGAGTGTTGGTTAGTGAAGACGGGCTGTACTGGGCAATGACTCGGTCAATGACTACTACGATGGCTAACCACTAAGACACAATACATTCAGATGGTTACATGTAGATCATTCCTTTATTTATATAAGCACCAACGCGTGCACACACGCAAAGACAGCACGCACGCGCACAACGCATGCACATCACACACATACACAACGCATGCACACGCTGATGGCTGGTGCGACGCACAACGCATGCACACTCGGGTGCATGGAGGTGTGCGGCGACGTGTGGTTCATCGTCCTACAATGCCCTACGCCATTTGTTGCAGTACCTTTTTGTCGGCGTTGCTCGTTGATTGAAGGCACCCGCGACCTCGGCCTTAGAGCATCGATGGAACACACACGACGGTGGGCGTCGAGAGCTTCATAGACTCGGATGGAGAGGAGACTAGACAACCGACGACAAGAGGCACAAGAGGCAGGGCGGGACCTAGGGCCATCGTGGCAAGTCGACGAGGTTCTTCGATGGGCTGATTCAGCAGGTGATCAAGAGCGGCCCCTGCGCGAGTGGGACTCCATGCAGGAGCGCATTGACGTCGACCATGTCACGTGGAGAACGTTGGCCACGGCGAGCAAAAGAAAAACATGAGTGTGTCGAGAGCGATGAGGGCTTGGCCACTGCTAGGCCTGTTATGGCGTTGGTCGAGACGACGTTGTTGTCCGGCTTGCATGCAGGGGCGGGCACACTAATATGCATACAACATACGCACGCATGCACACATTACACACTCACAGCAGAAAATCGAAAGAAAGAAAAATCATACATAACACACACTAACATGTACGCGCGCACACATAGCAAAACCAAAAAAGAAAAACATCCTCGCCTGTGTTGTCAACAAAAAGAAACTTACACAGAGAGAACAGAACTCAACAAAATTAAGATAGTGTCGCAACATGATAGCTTATGTTCCCCGCAAAAAAAAACATGATAGCTTATGTGCTCTTTTAAACTATGGTCCTCGGTCTTTTAAGCCGAAATGACGACGGCCCAGATGGTTAGCGGCGCGTCGTTTAACGACCTCAGGCCTCAAGTTCGAGTCTACACCCACGCACTAAATTATTTTCCTTCATTTTGCTTTTATACTCACTGACACGTGGGACCCATAGAGTAGGGACACACAGTGCGGTCCTAAGTGGCAAGTAAAATTTGACCAGTCAACCATATAAAATACAATGCTATACGGTGATCCAGTGACCGTATAATCATAGCAACTCGTATTTAATGACCGTATTGAGCGTATTCTAAAGTCCAGTGACTGTACTATGCTTTCACCTCAACTTTAGTGACCACAAGTGCATTTATCTCATTTGAATAACCTATTTTCACTTTCACACCGATAAAAAAGGAAGCAACATGGCAGTGTGCGGTACTTTTAGCGTAGATGAAGCGAGGGTTGTTTTCTATTGGTCTCGCCGACTTACTTCAAAACCTCTTTGAAACGAGGTGCAAACCTTAAAACCATCCAATTTTGTTGAATCAGAGCCATGTGGGAGAGTATGGGCAGGCGAGAGAAGATTTCTTACACAGATGATTCAATCTACTTTCGTCCTGTTTATTAGTCCCTTTTGTATTTTGGGTCAAACTTTAACCTTTGACTTAACTACCAAAAACATAAGTTCTATACCACCAAAATAGTACCATCGAAAACCTTTTTCAAATATGAATCCAACAAAATAACTTTTGTGACATACTGTTTTACTTGGTTGTCAAATTTGTGATCAAAAATTGGTATAAAATATAAAGATGACCCGTAAACCAACACGAAGGTAGTACTACAAGAATAGGTGGATCTAAAAAGAAATGACACTTGGTGGATCTCAGATTCTCAAAATGCTACACAAGCCGTTCAGTCCTCCTCAGTGTGACCCCGAAGTGTACAAAAAACTTTCCCATCGCACCGTCGGCTACGACTGCCCAAGTCAACCTCCTACCGAACTCTCACCAATCGCGAGGCACATCCAACCCCCGCCCTTCCGCCACATAAGATGGCCGTGCTCCGCTGCCCCGCTCCACCCACCGCCCACGCGCACACCGACACACTCCCACGCATTCCGCCCCCCACAGGCCACAGATCTCGCCATGGCCGACGCCGGCGCTCGCCTCCCGCTGCTGCTGCTCCTCGCCGCCGCGGGGGCCCTCCTCCTCGCCTCCCCCGCCGCGGCGGAGATCCGGGCGGAGTCCTTCCGGGAGGACCCGCGCCACGCCATCCTGTTCGAGAAGTTCGGCTTCTCCAAGACCGGGGCCGTCCGCATCATCCTCTCCGGCGCCGCCGTCTCCTCCTCCTTCGCGCGGGCGGACCCCAAGCAGATCGGCTTCTTCCTCCTCGCCGACGAGTCCCTCCTGCAGGCCGCCTCCGAGTCGCGGCCGCCGGCGGAGAAGCGCGCGGAGCCGGACGACCCGACCGGCGCCGACGAGCCCGACCTGTCCGGGTGCGTCCTCTCCAGCCCCTACGTCAAGAAGCTCTTCACCTTCCACGACATGGAGGGCGGGCACTACAACAAGTCCTTCCCGGTCACCCACCCCGACGAGTACAGCCTCTACTTCGCCAACTGCGCGCCGGAGTCGCTCGTCTCCATGAACGTCCGCACCGAGATGTACAACGCCAACCCGGACGGCTCCAAGGACTACCTCCCCGTCGGCCAGGCGCCCGTCCCGGCCATCTACGGCTTCTTCGCCTTCGGCTACGCCGCGTTCCTCGCCGGCTGGGCCTACCTCACGCTCTCCCGCGACCGCGTGGCGGCCAACCAAATCCACCACCTCATGTCCGCGCTCCTCGTGGCGCGCCTGCTCTACTGCCTCTCGGCCGCCGAGGACCAGCACTACATCCGCGTCACCGGCACGCCGCACGGCTGGGACGTGGCCTTCTACCTCTTCCAGCTCATCAAGGGCGTCATCCTCTTCGCGGTCATCGTGCTGGTCGGCACGGGGTGGTCCTTCCTGAGGCCCTTCTTGCAGGACCGGGAGAAGAAGGTGCTCATGGTGGTGATCCCGCTGCAGGTCATGGCCAACATCGCCGACGCGGTCATCGGGGAGACCGGGCCGTTCATGCAGAGCTGGGTGACATGGAACCAGATCTTGCTGTTCGTCGACGTCGCCTGCTGCTGCGCCGTGCTCTTCCCGGTCGTCTGGTCCATGCGGTCGCTCCGGGAGACGTCCAAGACCGACGGCAAGGCGGCGCGGAATCTGTCCAAGCTCACTCTGTTCCGGCAGTTCTACACCGTGGTGATTGGGTACTTGTACTTCACCAGGATCGTGGTGTTTGCGCTGAGGACCATTGCCAGTTACCAGTACCGGTGGGTGAGCGTCTTGGCCGAGGAAGTGGCATCAATGGCGTTCTACATGTACATGTTCTACACATTCAGGCCGGCCGAGAGGAGCAAGTACTTCTCTCTCGACGACGACGATGAGGAGGCCGCCGAGATGGTGCTCCGGGAAGAGGAATTCGAGCTATGAACATTTGTAATTTTCCGCAGCAATGCCGTGAGCGGCAATTGCCATGATTGCTCTCTTAGCGCCCTGTTTATCTGATCTGATCTCCCCTCTTGAGACTTTAGCACACTATTTATACAGATACCAGGTAGCAGGTATAGCTCATCGTCTTGTATGTACCGCAGGCCTGTAAGATCATATTTGTTCCTCTTCCCTTGTAGCTTCAAATTTTGCCGATGAGACGCAGGATACTAAACTGGATACGTGCAAAGAGGTTCTTGCTTGAAAAGTGCATAGGGAATTAATTGACCAAGTGTTACAGTTCAGGCAATGTTTGAAATTTGCTGCAATTTTGTGTGGTAATCAGTCATTTCATTCTTTGACCATTGCTGATCCATGTGTTTGTCCGTTAACTCAACTTGAAGTGATGCTGTATCTTATGATTTACCACTCATTCCAACGGAGATACCATTATTCATTTATGGGTTATCCTCCTTTTCAAAGAAAAAGATCATTTTATTTTATTTTCTAATTGCAAACTACTCCCTCCGTCCCATAATACAAGATCGTTTTTCAGGCTAGGCAGTAGGAAATAAGTAGTACAAGATTGGGGAAAAAATGTTAACTGGGCAAACTTGAGGGGGCAAGGAGGTCTACTTTTAGAGGAAAAGCCAGTGACGGCTCCATGAAGAAAGGTCTGTTGAAGGAGAACAGTCATTTTTTCAGTGCCCTCAAACATCTTCCGGATTAGGTGTAATTCTATTTACAGATTTGCATTTCTGAAACGCATTGTGGTTGGGCATTGTTTGAGATCCTCGTGGAAACTAAAATGAAGCAAAGCACGTTACTGGCTCCAGTTGGGCGTGTCTAGCGCATGGTACACAACTTTGTTTGGCAATGCATCACTGTCCAGCTTTTCCCGTTTCTGTTCCAATGATGCAAGCACCTAACGGCTTAAAACAAAGCATGAACATAAATAAAAGTTTGAGGGGACAGTGCAGTGCATGGAAGGGAGGAGGATACCGACATCGACATGGCAATGCCGTCGGTGAGCTCCGAATGATCCATTCCTAACCGTAAACTACGTACATCTCAGAAATCGGAAGATGATAGCAGTGCACAGGATATAGTTGGTGACGAGTAGAATGAGAGCAGGAGCTAGCGACACTTGCCTAAAAGGGCACTCCTAAATGGAGGCAGTGAGTAAACATAGGTTGGGTGCCGGCAATTAGGCCAGTGGTTAACAACTAACGCCAGTTACCTACACCGGAGGTCTATGATCTTACAGTTCTTGTTACAGTAGTACCATATACAGAGTTACCGTTAGCTGCTGTCCCTTGAGTTTTGGCGCTCCTTCACCCAACTCTCCATTTTCTAAGCGGCGGCAGCACCGTACGTCTTGTGTCGGCCAACTTTCCAGTCCAATAGCTACACCAGAATTCACCGACACGTGCGAAACTTCATCAGCATTCGACCGGTTCCGTTGGCAAAAAGAAAAACACAGAGATGTTTTCATAAATTAAGAGACTGGCTGTGTCTGTGTTACAAGTAAACTTCAAAAAAAATCTTGTCGCCCATCTTTTCCCCTACACCTAGTATAGCGTATAAATTGCATGATACAAACACAAAATTATAGTCACTCTGAAACTTTTACAAACAAATATGCGGTTTCTGTAACATTTCCCTCAGAGAGCGGCCCGGCAGATTTTTTTTTTTTTTTGAGTCCAGAGCGGCCCGGCAGATAAACGCGCTGGTCCGCAGGTAGCCATGGCTCCTGTTGGTCAATGCTCCCAATTTGCAACTGCAGCCACCGAGTGCACAGGCCGATCCTCGCCAGGATGTGGCTTTCTATCCTTGCTCCAACCTTCCAGGCAAAGAAGCACTCCTGGGCTTCTCGAGCTGATCGATTTCATGTTCCCGTCAGTCGCACACGACAGCGTATTCTCATCCGAGCATGTGCAATGCATCCATATGCACCAAACACGTCGATGAGTCTACACAGCCATACTACACCTTCTACAATGTACGTGCAAAGAAGTCGTTAACTGCAAGTGACGCGTCACCATGTGCAACCGCATTCTCTGGCTCCGGCATGAAAAGCGTACTAGAAGAAGCCTGTGCAGCAATGTAATGTAATGCCGGGGAAAAAGTGCCGCATTAGAACATCAAAATACATTAAACCAATACTTTACATTTGCTAAAACGAATAAACTGTTCTCCTAGTATTGGACAGGGTTAGCAACATTTCAGCACAACACTGTAAAGCACTTCGTTAGCATGTTCTGCATTAAGTTTGTTATAGATAACCCCCCTGCACACTATGACAAGACAATAATCCAACTTTGCACAACTGACGTAAAACATACCTTTGAGGAATAGCATTAAGATGTGTATAATGTATTACATTGTCCAGAGAGAGATCATTACCTTTGTGTCTATCTGCAATTCTCCACTGTTATCTACTGAAAGAACGGCACCATGTGCTTTTAACCATATTTCACATTCTTCCAACCTGTCCTCCCCATCTAGTAAGAATCCCAAAACCTGTGCAACATACCCCACAGGTACCGTGGGACGATATGATCTAGACATACATTTTATAGCCTCGAAACGCATCCTCTCCACATATAGATCTGTTGAAGAAGAGAGCTACAGACATCAAAACCTCTTACGGAAACAGAAATGGATTGAATTAACTTGGAAGGTGGTAAATTGCCCTTACCCATGAGGCAAGAGTTCAAGTTGGGTCCTTGCTTGTATAATTTGAAAAATATTACATAATTGCCAGATGAAACAGCAGCATGAACTGCAAGGGCATGCTTGACAGCTCCATCTTGTTTGGCTTCTTTTGATAAGCTGAAAATAATGTATATATCAAATTTAGTCCACTTATGAACTAAATAGGTTGCTATGGTGCTGTTTACAAAATGATACCTTGCCATTGATGACAACAGGTCTCGTTTGTTATTAGAGTGTAGCATGACGCAGAGCAAATTGTAGGCAGAGAATTCAAAATAGCAACCGTTGTTTCCCTCTCTATATAGCCTCTTCAGTTGTGACTGGCACTGAAAAAAGTTGCACATAGAAATAGTTTAAATTACGTCACTCATGCAGCAGTTGAATTACAAATATGTTCATTACAAAGCCACATCATCAAGTTCTAATGCCAATAAGTATTCCTGAACCATTACCAGAAAAGCAATATTTTTCTTTCTTTTTACGAGAGAGAGTAAAGCATACACTAGATAACCTGATAACTAGAAAAGCTCTAATAAAGTGTAACCAAACTTCTGATTGCTACTAATAGGAAAGCAAAACCCTTCTTGGGCATTCCGTACAACACTATAAAAAGTTGGTTGCAATGGCTAGCAAACACAACATGTGCACCACTATTTGATACTTCGAAAGAATAGGATAAGACAAGACAAACTGACCTGGTTAAATTCAGGTAGATCACCAGCTTGCAGTGCTAAACGCGCATGAGTTTCATAAACCTGAAATAAGAAATCTGAAGGTTAGAAATCAATGGATTGCTTAACTTATTTCCTAGTGCAGAACATTAACAAATATTTTCTTTTGGTCGTTTGCACGAGATAACTAATACTCCCTCCATTTCTGTATACAAGGACACTTTGTTTTTCGTGCCAAACTTTGACTTGTAATTTTGGTCAACAAAATATGGGTTATATGTCATCAAAATATATCATCGGATAGTTCTTTGGAATGTGCATCCGATGACATACTTTATGTGGAATATAACTCACTTTTTGTTGGTAAAATTAGGTTAGCCCGGTGCGCGTAGCTCCCGCTTGCGCAGGGTCCGGGGAAGGTAGACATAAAAAATATGAAGTGGCCTTGTATACAGAAATGGAGGGAGTATATCGAGTATGGTATCCTGACTAGCAACTTAAATAGACACATAGACATTGTGCATTTCTCAAGTTGCTGATATAATGAGGTCCACAGTTCCAGGCAACTGGATGCCATGAAAAACGAAGACTACCTTCACAGTCAGTTCATTCTGGATCCTCTGAACTGTAAGATCTTGGCGAATAGATTTCAGTTGATCACACTTGTAAAGATAATTCTTTTGAGATGTTTCAACCATGGAAAGCGCCTTCTCCAAGACATGTTCTGGTCTTACCTGCAAAGAACGTATTCAGATAAATAAGCAAACAAACAGTAGAATGGATAGACTGCCATCTAGAAATAAAATGTTGCACTGATGCTATCAATGCCTTTCGGTTTAGAGTTATGAAAGACAATTAGTGAGTGTTATTACCGTGGAAGGATCAGGCGCTGATGTGAGGCGTAAATATCGTTTCTCAATTTCTTGACATGTTCCCTTGACTGTCAGTGCATCCCAGTCCATATCCTCGACGGCCAAGCTGCTGCCATCTTTATAACTTCCAGTAACAAGAGCTGAAATGGGTCTTCTTGTATGTATACGAGCCATGGCATCTTTATTCACTGCAGAATTTCTTGACTTTGATGATGAATCCTTACTCTTCTCAAAACGCTTAGATCTGTGCTCCCTGCGTTTCTTTTCCTCTGGTGAGTTTGCTAATGCTGATGCATTGGCGTAATATTTGGTCAGGTCCTTCTCCTTATCACTATCACTTGAAGTGTTTCCATTTTGTACCACACTTGAATAACTACCCATCTTTTGCTTCTTGGAAAGCCGGTGGCTGATTTTGTTTGAAGGTGCGTGTGGAGACTGGAGAGACTTCCCTAAATTCCAACTGTTACCCTGCATTACAGGCAACTAAGTATTTCAGAGAAGGAGCTCGCTAAAACATAAATACAAGCATGTGATAATGCATAAATCGATAATGACGGTTCTGAAATTAGAGGCTTCAGATAGCAGTGCAGATTCCATGATGTACGTTCTGTTTGATGACAAAATTTTAACAAGAGCAGCATGCCAGTTCTCACCATCGTATTTTGGGCTTTCAAATTATTGTGGGCATTTCCATTCATCAATGCTTTTGCTAGTGGCTCCACCTTTTCAGTAACCTTTTCTTCCGGAACAGGCTCCCACCTACTTTTCAGTCGTCTTTTAGGGGTAGAAGATGTTGGCAAGGAACTTGAATTGTTTGCACTGGTACGAAGGAAAAAAAAATCAGAAATCTATGATCCTGCGAACCGCAGAAACAGAAAGATGGCCTAATAATGGAACTAGATGGCTTGCCATTTACCAAGCACATAAATTATATGCCAATTTATTAATCTTGCATGGATACCCTTCGGCAGTTAAGGAAATGATTTCCAGTAAACCCTTGAAATGTACCATAATCGGTTTATCTTCTCTTTTTTTCCATTAGCCATTAGGACCAGTTTGATTCGCAATCAGACAAGGTTAGATTTTCATGGTTATTAACTAAGTGAGACTTCCCTAGCTCCACTGTACAGTTCTTGCTTGAACTATCAGTGTTACAAATATCCAAGAAGTGCCGAAGCTCATCTAGTGGTCATTATACAATTATTAAAATAATAAAATGCTCTGGTATTTTCTTAGTTTGCAGCACTTCTCTAGGGTGTCAGTCCAAGATGATACCAAAATATGGAAATAGTTTGATCTGAAAAATGCAATTATTATAGAGGTGTTCAAAGCACAGCAGTATGGTAACACAAAAATCCGAAGCAACAGACCACAATATTGCCCTACCTAATGCATTTAGGTCTCAACAACACTGCATTGTCACCTTACAGGTTTAATCTATTTATTTATTGGCAGGGGTGGCATATAAGAGAAGCACATACCTTGTTTCGGTCATGGTCAAAAGGTTCTCTGGCAAAGGAATCAGCGGTTCAGTGTCCCAATTCTTAGTAAGGAGGGTTCCATTGCTAATAGCTTTGCTTGTGATCTGAAAATAAACATAAAGAAAAGAGAGAAACTGATATGACAAAACCAATCAAACAATTTCTACCATTCAAATGATGTAGCAGAAGCAAGAGAATCAATAAAGTCAAAAAAATGAAACAAGGTATTCAATCAGATGCCCAGTAACTGAAGCAACTTCAGTTACAGGACTGACATCAGGCATTTGCTCATGAATAGCAGCATAATCACTGAGACATCAAACATGCCAATTTCATTATGCATATATCATTAATATAGGGTGGATAGCACATCAACTCTGTTATGGCTAAGGGCATGTACAATGCAAGTCCTTAGATGTGCTTAGAAAAGAGAACTGCTTTTTGTTGCAACCTAGGAAAGTTAAGGTCCTAATTTAATAGCATCAATGCTTGTGTAGGCAGATAACTATCCCATCTGACTGACATCTATAATACCTAAATAGTTCATCCCCACTATCCTATTTCTCTTGACATGCAGCCTATCCACCTCACCTCCATGCCATGTCAGCATTATTAAGCATTTTTTCATTTATATTAAGAAAACAGAATCGTGTACTACATGTATTTCCATGATGGCTTTTCTTTGACCTAGGCTGTACGAGCGAACAACCTGGCCATTTATTGTCACGCACTAACGCTTGTCTTTTCCTCTGCCCATTCTTTTCCTCCTCCATTCTCTTCAGTTCCCTCATCAATATATGATGATCCTCCTGTGAGCCCCTCTGCCTTCCGATCCTCACCACTGTTGTAGTTGTCATTGTTCCAGATTCCATCAAGGCTAAACACAAAGTGGCGGAAGCCCTGATTGATGACTGATGGCTTAAGGACATCGAATGTCAGCTCGCCGCTGGAGGTTTTATTTAGTTGATCAATCTATTGGTGGCGCTTCAGGAAGTTCAAATTAGCCCTGGTCATGAGGATGCTTGCGTTTGGGTTTCTTGAGTCTGGTCGTTCGTCTTCCAAGTCACACTTCCCTATGTTGGGCCGCCGGCCGCCGCCCAGCGGACGGCACTGCCCCTGCCGCGCCCGAGGTAAGGCTGTCGTGTGGTGCCTGCGGCGAGCTCCTGACTCCTGAGCATGTCGGTCGAGCTATCGTGTTGCCGCCGAGCTGATTATCAACTTGGCGCGCCTCCTGAACTACAGTCTGTCCTCGCCAGCCGCAACGGCTGTCATGCCACTTGAGGTTATTGCTACTTGAGGTATGTACTCTGTAGGGTTATGATTATTTGTTTTTCTCTGCAGTTGTGATTTTGGTATTCCATACTTGAAGAAATTGCAATTCAATTGAAAGAAAAACTACCATTTAATTTCTCTATGGCATGCTGACATACTGCTTTCCTTAATGGCAGGCTAGCTTCTCTTCCCAAGAATGGATAATATATGTCACACATCTAAAGATTGTAATCCTTTCTCTAAGCATACCGGGTGTAGTTTGTTTTAACGTTGTAGACTGAAAGATGGTGTCTATAAGAGAACCGGTAGCTTTGATTATCTGCCCAATACTCTTATCTTGCTAATGATTCTTTTGGTTAATGTCGGCAAGTTCTAACTATGAAGTGTGGCTATGATATTTTAATTGCTCTGTGGCATGCCAGCATACTGGTTTATGAAATGGCAGCTTCTTTTCTCAAGAACACACACAGTTGAAGATTGGTTCTAGCCTACTATAACATTGTAGATTGAATGAAGGTGTCTGCAAGGGAAGTGCTAGCTTTGATTATCTGCCCAATACTATTTTCTTGCTGATGATTATTTTGGTTAATATTTCATTGGTTCTATTTACAAGATATTCAATATGTGTTATTCTCCAAAAATCTGACAAAATATATACTGCTAATAGTTTTAAATCATTTTTATGGCGTGGATTCTATCCTAAAATCACTTGATCACTTTCGTATAAATATGTCTTTTCCTTTTTATAAAATAAAAACAATAGGAAGTTATTATTATTCATAGCAATGATTGATTTGGTTAATTGTCTCATATGTTCTCAATCATAAACTTTGAGCTACTAATTCCCGCTGCAACGCGCGGGGGATCATCTAGTTGATAAAATGATGGCGACTTTTACAAATGGTGGAAACTAACAAAAGCCAATAAAAAGAGACTTCACCTGTTGTATCATGGTTTGGCAAGCAGCCCTCTGGGCCTCATCCTTGCAACGGCTAAGATTCCTCATGGCATAATTACGCAGCGAAAAAGGGAGGGATCTCTAAACATGGGATGAAAAAATGTTGGTGAATACGAATACCACAAAATATGACCTACCGCAGTTGTGGAGTTATAAACATAAGATTTACAGCATTATTTTGTTATCCTGGTTTTAAAAATGATGAACTGGTGCACTTCCATAAACACTGAACAAATTTAAGTAAGACGGTCGGGATTAACCAATTAAGATGCACTTTAGGCCTTCATATGGTAATAACTTACCTTGTGATTCAAAAACAAAGACTAAGCCCATAATAGGTACAAACAACGACAAAAAAAAGGAGAGGAGAAAATTACAGTGTCTGAACCATTTTGAACTGCTTTGCCATCATTCTTCGGCACAGAAACACTAACATAGGCAGGTTTCTTTGCCAAATCAGCACCTACAATTTTCTTCTCACTCTTTGGTATTACCATAGAGAAACCAGGAGCAATTCGAGGAATGATCGGAATCTGTGTTTTGTTTTCGCTACTGTAAATACCTGTCGTCAAAGAACCCTGCATATTTGGCTGAAGGTTTATCAGAAAACATGGTTGATTGAGAAAATATTTGAGCTTAAACCTTTTGAACCTACACTCTTCTGTTGATCACCATGGTTGTTCAAAGGTACTTGATTCACATTCATATTGTTTTGTGGGTATGCTGGTGCCTGGCTGGCGTAGTAGTTCTGAGACACTGGGACACCTGGTGCCTGATAGGCATACTGGTTTTGGAACCCTGGAGTTACTTGCGCTTGTTGGACGTATTGATTTTGAGGTTCTGGAACGCTTGGAGCCTGTAAAGTAGTAAAACTTAGGTGAAAAGCAATTCTCTTACCATGATGGAAACAATGCAAATAACATGCTACAATTCACATGCCATGCTACTATTATTTATCAACTCGCACTTCAAGGGGTTCAAAAATAGCATGTCAAAGGCCCTAAAGACGTAAAGGCCCTAAGGAAGGGGCATTTTATAGAAAAAATGAAGGGGCGTTGCAATAGTCCCAATAAAATTGAGAACCGAGCAAGCGCTCGGTTGGCAAGAGTGCACGGATGTAAGCTCACCCACTCGCATTCGGTCCGCAGGGTGTCTCGTTTCTACCTAACAACGTATATACAGGTAATGGAGGGAACTTCCCCCTTTAACCACCTTATTTTTAAGTCCCAATAGAACAGCTGGAGCCATTTTTTGTTTCCAGAGTAACAAACAAGGCTAGACAAACTAAAGCTTATGAGAAATCATTGTCCAGAATAACATAGTTAGACAGACTAAAACTTGTGAGAAACAATTGACGGAGTCTGATGGAAAAAGCTATATGCGGTAACTAATAATTTATAGTGAAAGGAAGCAACATACCTGTACAGGAGGTGCAACAGAAGCGCTTGAATTACTTTTCCATGGCGTAGTACCCGGCGGAGGTGGCTCCATACTAGGATAAGAGTAACCAGAAGTGGTGTTAACGACTGTATTATCTATGTTGCTGCTCCCAGCAACTGGATTGCCAGCAGGAGTTGGCACAGAGTGATTGTAATAGTATGGCCACTGGTTGTACTGTTGCTGATATGAGAAAGAATTGGCAGGCACTGCACTGGAACTTTGGGCTGCATTGGTATCAGAGGATGGGTAGTTCTGGTATGACTGGGCATAATTGTTTCCTGAGCTTCCATCATTACGAGTGTCGGTCTGATAATAATAGTTGGTGGTTGCATATCCTGGCGCAGTCTGGTGACCACCAGCATTGTAATATGTGTTACTTGTAGGATCAACGTAAGACCCAGAATTCTGAAATGAAGTAAGAGGCTGATAAGCTGCACCTGAATGTTGGTTTGCTCCTCCTTGCTGCACAGAACAACTATTTGTTGCTTGTGGGTAGTTATAGTAATAGTTTGCATATTCTGCAGGATTGTAGCCATGCTGAAGTGAACTTGAGTAAGGCACATGAGAATGACTTGCATTTGTCAAGCCCATAGTCGACTGTACAGCAGGAGGCGCACTGCTTGCCACATTTTGATTATCTCCTGAAACCGATACATCCCTCTGTGGATCATAGTATACTGCATCTTGACTTTGATTGGCCACTGGATAGTTCCACGAACCTGCTGCTGCTGCGCCAGTTGTAGTGGACCATGAATGATCCCCAGAAACTAAAGGCGGATAAGCAGGCTGGTTTGTCTGGCCTGTGCCGCTGACCTGCCATTAGCAAAGAAAATTAATCATCATTCAGATAGATAGATTCTAATGGGCACCGTGACCAACTACAAAAGGGTTGTCCTCAGTGCGGCGTTAATCTAAAAGGCAAGTTCGGTTTTGCGGAGGGTATAAAATGTTTTAGTTGTGCATCGCAGCATTGGTGAAATAAATTAACTGAGTAAGTAGCACCAGCCCACGACGTACTTATACACACTACTGCAGCAAGGCCATTGAATAACCTCATGTAAGGGGAAAATTGGCACAAAACACGACAAAACAACACTTGCATGAGCTACAAAAAATCAGCTAGAATCATTTTATTTTTCCAAGCCATAATCGTCAACTTAGTTGGAGCACGTCTTATGCACGCAATTAATTGCACAGCACATCATCACAGGGCTGAATCCTCTACAACTGCCGTGATAAGAACATGCCAATGCACGGAGCTTATGGCAGGAACCAAACCATCCGTAATACACTTTCTCTGAAAATACTAAAACAGAAATCAATAGGCGGGTCACGTGGCATACCTCGACGCGCGCGGCGTCGGATCCGGCGGCCGGCGCAGCTCCGTGGCTGGCCATCGTCCCCGCGCCCGAACCAACCCTAGCGGCAACAAGGTCAACCGCCGCCGCCGCGGCCGTCAGAGACGACGAACAGAGGAGAATCGACGGCGGACGAATTGAATTGAAAAAAAGAAACACGGAGAGATCGGGTCAACGGGTTGGTTCAGCGGGGAGGATTCAGGGGGAAATCGAGTGGTCGGGATTGAGGGGAGATTTTCGGGGGGTGGAAGCGGCGATGCAGAAAGCGAGGGTGGGAAGAGGAGGATGCAGAAAGCGAGATGTGGGAGAAAGGAGCAGCGAACTTTTTTGGTTGCCCTTTTCGGATGCGTTGCGCTGCGGTTTGGTTGGGTGTCGTAACGAGTTCGTCGGAGACGGATGAGAGGGGAGAACGTGCCGGAGACGGAATGAATAACCGCGGCGCTTGCGTGAACGGGCCGTGGGCCTTCGATAGATGGGCCTGCGGCCTGCTTTATTTGAGCCCGGCTACTGTTTAGCAACTCTGCCTTCTTCGGAGAAACAGACTCTCCGGAGATTCAGTTATCAGAGAGATGTTTAGCAACTCTGCCTTCTTCGGAGAAACGGACTCTCCGGAGATTCAGTTATCAGAGAGATGTGGGGAGATTCAGAGAGCCGTAGGAATTCATTCAGGAACAGGACAGTAAATCATAACATCCCATCGAACTCGCGTCATTTGCACGGGAAGACGATATATATTCGATCTCATGACTGGGCTCATGGAGCTACAAGGTAACTAGAGACATTCTGCGATAGACAGATGGGTGAACAGGCAACATTTGTTCCGGCTACAGCTACTGAACGAAAGATATGACAGTTTTCTCGCGTCTGCAGGCTGCAGCCACGGCGGGGCGGAGTTGTTGGCTGAAGGCGAGGAGGCGACGGGTTGCGGACGGAGATTGACGCCTAGCCGCCGAAGCCGTAGAGGGTGCGGCCCTGGCGCTTGAGCGCGTAGACGACGTCCATGGCGGTGACGGTCTTGCGGCGGGCGTGCTCCGTGTAGGTGACGGCGTCGCGGATGACGTTCTCGAGGAAGATCTTGAGCACGCCGCGGGTCTCCTCGTAGATGAGCCCCGAGATGCGCTTCACGCCGCCCCTCCGAGCGAGCCTCCGGATCGCCGGCTTGGTGATGCCCTGGATGTTGTCGCGCAGCACCTTCCTGTGGCGCTTGGCGCCGCCCTTGCCGAGCCCCTTGCCTCCCTTGCCGCGCCCGGACATGGCTGACGATCTCTGTTTGGTTCGAGCTGCGAGCGGATGCGGGTCGAGGGAGCGGTCGTGGATTGTGGTGTTCTGATTTGGGGGAAGGAGGGGAGGGGATTAAAAGGGGTGGGAGGAAGGCGATGCGTGCCAAAGAATTGCGAAGGTCGAGACCGCGATCCGGGTATGGATGCCGCGGATCCGTGACGTGGCGGGAGTCTCGGCGCGGTAGATTGGCGGGGCGCGCCTGAAAATTTTCGTTCCGTGACGCGCCAGCTCGAAACCTTTTCCGCTCGTTGCCGCGCTGTCTGTGCGATTCATTGGTGCGAATTCAGTTTCGCTTCTGTGGTGCTCGTGCGCGACGGCGCGAAAAATGAAACGGCAACGGAGTGTGCCTAGTCTAACAGTGGCTCTTACAAGCAGATTGTCTGACGTTTTCGAAAATTCAAGATTGAATCAGTGAAGGATTTTCAAAAGTCGTTGGTGTCAACTGCACCAATGGCTAGGGGCTCACGTAGATTGATCGTAGAGAGAGCGTGCCGGTTCCCAACAAAGTGAAGTGAATTGGATTATCATTGGCACTCTGTTTCTTCCGAGCGATCGTCATCTCCGAGAAATACTAGAGTTAGAGAAGAGGAAATGGGTGTGAAGTTACACACTGATACTCCCTCCCCCGGTGAAAAGTGTGCATATAGAATTTTTTTGACTAATTGTGAAGTGGGTAAAAAATGCATTGGGAATAGGGGTGGGGACTTTTGAACCGAAAACCGAAAAACCGAACCGAGCCGAACCATATTAACCGATTTATCTATTAATTCGGTGATTCGATTTTTTGTTCGGTGGGAAATTTTAAGGCTGTCCGGTGTTTGGTTTCTGTTCAGTTTCCGGTGTCCAAAAACCGAATACACCGAAAAACCCGATATGGACGATACCCCATGCAATACCTTGTTTTCGAAAGTGCAGCGGGGGCGCGTCCTCTGGCAAATACTTGTTGGTTGTGGCAGACGTCAGGCCAGCCGCTAGATGAGTTTCTAATCTCACAATTTAACTAGTACTCGTAGGAGTATGTATGCATGCCCGGCGCTTGGTTATGGAAGTAACTAGCAATTAGTGTATCAATTAGTGCATTAGTTGCTTAGTTTACACGCATCACACATATTCTTCCGTACATAATACATGTAACGCCCCATGTGATTTTACACTTAGTTATGTTCACTAGTTTGCTTGACCGAATAAAGCACGGACTGATGTTAAGGTTGCTAGCTCTTGTGATATATACTGATGAGTGCATGTATTTTGGTTTTCCGGTTAACCGAATAGACCGAGCCGATATATTATGGTTAATATGGTTCGGTTTCTAAATTTTGTGTGATTAATTCGGTTTCCATTTTTTCAAAACCGAAATTATAAAATACCAAATAAACCGAACCGTATTAACCATATAAACCGAATGCCCAGCCCTAATTGGGAAGATGCAAATAGTCCTGGCCATCTCCGGCCCGGCCCTGTCGGCCCACCCAGGCTCGGCCCTAAAATCCAGGGCCTAGGCCCGATGGGCTTGCCCGTGGGCCGGGCTTGGGCCTGAGTTTTGAGCCCACCAACAAGGCTTGTACGAGTTTGGGCTTGGCATATTGGCATTTTAAGAAAGAGGCCCGGCCCACGGCCCTAAGCCCTAAGGACTTTTCAAGGCTTTTTACTATATGGGTCGGGCTTGGGCTTGAAAAGTAGGCCCGACGGTAGGGCCTGGACCTCAGTTTTCTGCCATGTCCTTTTTTAGGCCCGGCCCATGGCCAGGTATAGATGCAAGCCATCATCTCTCTCCTGTTTAAATATCCAACCCACAATGAACTAAGTGCATGTACAAATTAAGGAGGCCATGTGTAGAATGTTATTGATCTTATTACCGTCTGATGAGAGAAAAGCATTTTTTTTCTACTTTAAAATGCATTGGGAAGATAGAAGTACACTCTTTTGTAGATAAAATTTAAAGCCAACCATACACTTTTGACTGGACAATTTTTTGCATTGGAACTAACTGATTAGAAACGAATAAATACACACTGTGGGACATAATTTAAACTTGTAAAGGCATGCATAAAAAACGCGGAATTGACATTTATATAGGAACACGGTGACTCTAGTGTTCCCTTCACTCTGTAACAACATCCTGAACCGCTGTATTGGGTGCCTTAGAGCATCTCCAACAGTCGACGAACGCGCCGCGCGTAAAAAATGGCTTTAGTACGCGCTCATCGTTTGGTTTGGCGCGGCGCGCAGCGCCAGCTCCACAAGCGCGCGCCGCTCCAGCAGCCGCGCAAAAAATTGCAGCACGCTCATTCTACAAACTAGGATGTAGGCATTGGAAGCATAGAAACTAGATAGATTGCATAGATTTTTTAAACGATACAAAGGTATTTTACATCAAAAACATAGATTGCATAAAATAAAAACGACAAACGATAAAAAACTAAATAGATAGCATAAAAAACTACTCTAAGTCGCTATCATCATCATCATTATCATCCTCGGCGGTGTTGTCCGAGGTATCTAGCCATATGTCCAACCAACGATCATCGTTCTCCGTGAAGAACGACCTCCCACCTGCTGCAACGAGATCGGATTGCGCGTTCGCCAACGCCTTTCGCGCGACGCATGTCCAACCGCGCCTCGCGGCGCCTTCGCGTGTCCTCCTCGCGACGCCTTGCCCAGTAGACTTGCTCGTAGGCGACGTCCTCCGGGTGGCGCCGGCGCCACTCCGCCATGACCCGCTCGTCCTCCTAGGCGACGAGGAGGCGGCGCTGCCGCTCGGCGTGCTCCGCACGGTCTTGTGTCGTGTTCAGACGAGGCGGCGGGGCGACGTCGAGCGCCTGCTGGAGCGTGTACACATCTTGGAAGTTCATCTGGCTGCGCGGCCGGCCTATGCGCCACGTCACCGCGTCGTACGCGCGGGCGGCCTCGCGCGCCGTCCCGTACGTGCCGAGGCCGAGTCGGAGATCGCCGGAGCGTATCTCCGCGTAATAGCCGCCGTTGGGGCGCAGGCGGACGCCGCGGTAGCCGAACGCTCCTCGGCGGCGCGGCGGCATGGCGACGCGGCGGTGGCGGGGCGTTGGGGCGGTGGAGGCGCGTCGGTGGCGTGGCGCTGGAGCGGCGCGTGGCAGAGAGGGAGAGGAAGAGGAGAAGAGGAGGCGTGGAGAGGCGCGTGGCGCGCGCCGCACTTTATAGGCGTGCCGGAAACGGTGCGCAAAAGATGACGCGCGACTTTTTGCGCACGCGTGTAAACGGTTCCCACGCGTGTGATTTTTCCCGCCACCGCTGGAGCGCGGCAAAACGCCCCGCGCGCGCTAAAGCTGTGTGTACCGCGCACGCGCGTCGTTTCGCGCGGCCGTTGGAGATGCTCTTAAAAACATGGTTGTTCTACTCTGTACCGGACTGGGATCCTACGAATCGGGTAGATACAGCACCAACAACTTCATGCTGCTCGGAGCTTTTCACGGAACTTGTCGTTTTTATTCTGCTTCAGTTATCTTGCTGCCCATACTTGATAGTGATTTTTTCCTCTTTTTTCCATACTAGTGTATACGTAGTATATTTTTAGCTGGAGAGCCAAATTTTGGTTGTGTTAATATTGCAAAATGAGAGGGTCTTTTGTTTTTTTTTATTGTGGAGAGGGTCTTTTGTTGTGTCAAGTACTTTTGTGTCTGTCTCTTCAGAGTGTGTCGCGTTCTTGTATCAGGTGCTCACTTTCGAAAAGATGTTCCTGAAGTTGTTGATGTTGGGCTGTGGCAAAGCTGTTGGCATCAAAAAGA